GCCCAGCACAGAGTAATAAAAACTATTCCTGGCCACCTTTGCAACCTTGCTTGCGAGCAGCTGATCTGGATCCCTGAACACCCCCAGACTGTGACCCTGATCCTTAAGGAGGAGTGCAACCCCATTCAAAACCCCAAATTTGTCCACCTAATCCTAGACTGGTTTGCTGAACTGATCTGACTAGTTTTGTAGAGCATACTATTTGGGGCACAGATCTGCTTCTCATTTTGGCTTTCTTTGTGATGTGTTAGTGTGGTCTGGGTTCAGTTCTGATATTTGGCTCACCCTGTTTCCTTCCCCTATCTCCCCCCCCCCCATCTACATGCCTCTTTCTGTTGGCAGAGTAATTAACACAGCAAAGGTGCACAACCTGATTAAAGAGTAGATAAAAGTTTATTTAGGAATTAATATAGTTGATAGGAAAAAGAAGAGGCAGAGGTAGGTTCCTAACTACATCACTGGCTGAGAGAGAGTAAGACTGAGTGTGGCACTTCCAAGAAGAAGGGGGAAATTAGCAATCGGGAGACAGGCAAGGAATGACAGGGGAGAAGGTGCTGACCTCACTATCCCATCTAATTGTCTTCTTGCTGTCCCCTGCAGGGCCGCCTTCTCTTCTTTGTTCACCAGACACTGCCTTTTCCAACACTTTCTCCAGCCTACGAATCCAAGGAAGGGGTTCTAGTTAGCCTAACTCTTTTGCCATAACTGAGCTCTGAAATCTTCCCCACCCCCAGCCATAGGCTGAGTCTTGGAATATGCAGACCAAAATCAAACAAAAGTGTGTCTGAACATGTGCAGAATCTCTTTCCCTGGTACTGAGTGGCTGCGATGTGTTCCCACCCTCTCCAGATTAAGGTGGAGAGTCTTCTTGTCTTCCCTGCAGGCTTGAGTCTCAGCAGCCTTTCCTTGTTAAAAAAGTAGAAATCAAGCACTGTGACCAGGTACCGGGCGGGCCGGCAGTCGGGCAGAGGATTTCAGCTCTCTGGGACACGGAGGGGAGAGTCGCATTCTCCCATGGGGTTCTGCCTGCCTGGCGCAGCATGTCGTTGCGGTTCAGAGAACTAAAAGAGAGACAGAGGGGGAAAAACGGGCCACTACCTCTTTAAAACATTGCAGGCAAAGGGTACGGTGCAGTGTGCTGGACCATGTGATAGCCTGAAAGGCAGTTAGAATCTGCAGGAGGAAAGCAGGCTCAGGGATGACAGCCGCCTGCATCAGAGTGAAGATTCACCGCAGGGAAATAAGTGCTGGCTGCAATTAAGGAGCCAAAGTTCTTGCTCCGGAGAGGGCAGGGCAGGCAGAGCCTCCAGGATGCCCGGAGACCCGGGGGTCTGACTCATGAGGCACCGCGAAGCAGAATGGTACCCGCGCTTCCTCAGCCTGGTCGTCCTCCTGGGTGTGAAGTGTTTGCTTGGAGGAGAAAACAGTAGTCCTGGACCCTCGGTAGGACAACGTGAGTCTGAATCTTGCAGCTCTTTGCTCGTTTGGGGGCAGCCTCGGGCCATTTGTATGGGGCTGCCTCTCTGCAGGGGTGACTCTTGAATGAGCGGAATTCAGCCCAGGAGCCAGGAGAGGTAGACAAGCAGCAGAGCAGAAATCTCATTCAGTGAGGCCGTCACCGCGAGGAGGGGCAGTCTCTGTTGTTGAAATGAGCCCTCTTGAGCGTGAAAAGAATTCGTTATGTCTTTTGGGCTGGGAAGCGCGCAGGTGAGGAGAGAATAGCCGGAGAGGCAGTCGGAAGTCAGTGGGGGAGAATGGTAAGGCAAAGTAAGTACAGAGGTCAGGCGGTGGGCATTATCGTGGAGGGAGTTTCTTCTCTGACCTGCAAAGTGCCGTTTATGTGCCCTCTTACAGCAAGATCATAACAGTCCTTAGAAATGCTGTGTTATCATTGGCTAAAAAGCAAACCCAAATGGGAGGAAAATGTCAAAAGAAATATAAAAGGCAGCTGAAAAATCAAAGGTGGTGTGGTATCTTTAAAGACTAGTTGGTTTATTGTAGCTTGAGCTTTTGTTTGACTGTAAGCCAATGTGTGGGATAATCATTTCACTGAAACAACGGGAACAACTTCACCTGACTGCCTCTGTCTGGGGCACCATCCCCGATCCAGCACCCAGGGCGTTATAAATGTAGAAACATAATGGAGAAGGGGGAGTGAGAAAATCCTCCTGCAGGAAGGGGGAAAGGGTGTGCTCCCAATGTCTAACTTGCCCGCTCCCGCTAATTATATAGAATTAATATAAGTGAAAGTGACTAGTCAGGTAGAATTTGATCTAGTCAATTTCACTTTCTATTTAGCTAGAGCTACATGAGGGCATAACTGGATTTGCATTCAAGTGCAGTAACCCCCCACCCATTTTTTAAAAAATTAAAAAACATTTCTGGTCATTGGGTGTGAAGAAAAGTGTGCAACTTCCCATGACACCATCCAATAGGCACATATGATGGTTCCAAGCAAAGAGCAATGTTGCAAATCGCTCCTCATATTTTCAGCAACTTTAAACTAATCATTGAGATCTATTGTTTGCACAATAAATCTGCATTATTCTTATTTTTGGAAGCACAATATGCATGTCTTCTCTTTACTACATGAGTATCAAAGCACTTATGGCACAAAATGTATCTAGGTTCATTTCCCCACCATTCATTGATAGTGTGATTGATATGTGGAATAAGGTCAAAGAAATGTCTTATGCTTACTGAATGTTTGTAAATCTTTTTGTTATATTTTATTTTCATGTTATATGCTCTTTTGTTTTTAATTTCCTGGCAGAAGGGCGCAGCTTGCTGGATTTTACTTTTACTTGGTGAAGGGAGCCTTACTAGTAGCCACTCCTATTAGGTGCAGGCAAGATATTGTGCTATTGGTACTATATCGAAAGTCATTTGTAGAAGTACATGCACACAAAAAGAGAGAGAGCAAGAGGGTGCAGTACTAAGAACACTTTCCTGGGAGTAACCCTCATTGAATAGACCAATGCAGGATTCTGAATAGACCAGTTTAGGATTGCTCTTGCACTCATGCATACTCCATTGGCTAAAATGCACTTGTGCAATGTTTGCTGGGATGATGCAGAAGGATACTGAGACACCCCGTATGGGGGGGGGGGGGCATCTTAAAGAACAAGGAGACAATTGGTGGCACAGATGATAATACTGATTGATGGATCCTAGAGAAAGACCTGTTATCCTTTAATGAAAAGTCTGGGAAGCACTGTTTTTAAAATATGCCAAGTGCAGAAGTAATGCTAAAAATGGTGCAGACCACTAGAGACAACAGGCAAACTTGCTAAAGTGAGCAGACCTTGTCTGCAATATAAGTGTTTTGTATCTGGGTCAAATGCAGACTGATTCGCGTGTTGAGTTGTATTGATCTGCTTGTTATACCTATGCATTCTAAGTACACTATTTGGAGACTGTTTCCATTGATTTCACTGAGACATCTTTCTAAATGTAACTGAGATGGAACAGATTTGATGCTGAGTCATGTGTGGGTAGGGATCAGGGGCTCTGTTACAACGAAGTCTGAATCCCCACAGCCTTGCCTTTGCATTGGTTTGTTAAAGTGGTAGCAGCTGGCATGAGGCTTTCATGCAAAGGGTAGCACTGAGAAGAATGCAAAAAAAGGACAACTTTGTAGCAGGAAGATCTGCATTGTGGGACACAAAACATAAACATTTAAAAATCCACATAATCTAAGCCATCAAGCGGCTCTCAGAAAGAGTACTGCATTGTGCATGCATAAAAAGTTTTGCACAGTTTGAAACTGCTGAATCTGGTGAGATTTCAGGGCCAATTTTAGGCTTTTCACCACTAGTTCGTGTAGTAGCTGTAGCAGAGGAAGGTTTCCAAGAACAAGCCTTCCATGGGTTTATGTAAGACATTCTAAGAATGGTTGTTCTAATGTTGTTGGTGCCATCTTGGACAAGATTGGTCTGTCCTAGAGAAATAACTTAAATACTTGTGCAGTGCGTGCCCACACTATTCTTGAAAGCACATTTGCACTTTGCAGCCACTCTAAAACTTGCCTGAAGGAGAAGATAGCTGGTTCAATGAGTTGTCAACCTGCATATTTTAGTCTTCACTTTCTTTCTGCAGTCTTCTAAAACCGACCTCTAGTAGATAATGGAAGTGTTGAGAAAAGGTTTTCCCAGTTGTTCCTGTCTTGTTCAGGAAGTTTGCTCAGTTGTGAGAATCTTATGGAACTGAAGTATTTTCATTGAAGCAAGAATAAATTTTTGTGAACATAAAGGCAACAACCTTTCTTAAGGACTTTTGCAGGACAGTTCTGTGACCATTCAGAGCTGCTCTCTTGGACATTACAGGAGATATGGGGATCAAATGTGGTAACAGGAAAGTCCTAATCTCTATCTGAAGCTGGCAGAAGGGACAGGCCTCTCTCATTCTCTGTGCAACGTCCCTGCCTCCATCATTCCACCCTGCATCCAGGTTAGCATGGGATAGCAAAACTCTTTTTCAAGAGGTACATTTTTGGCAATCCAGTCACGCATAACCAGAGAGCATGCTACCTGCAGTGCTGCTGGTATGCACATTTGCCCTTTTGTGTGAATAGAGCAGCACATGTATTTTCCAGCTTGGGTATGCAGGAGCGCTCATGTGGGTTTGTGATTGCATATTCTGAAGCTGGAAAAATACAAGCATTGCCCTATTCACAAAAACAGGGACTGTGCCTCTAAGGAGTATTGTGGGTAGCACCCTCTCCTATTATGTGAGATTGGAGTGTCCAAGATGTTGTGACTGAAAAGGGCTAAACCGGAGCAGACAACTGACGGGCTCAGTCAGTGACCTGAGGGCAACCTCTGCCACAATTGTGTGGGGAAATGTGGGATACAGGAAAACCTTGCAAGGATTAACCACATGTAAAATAATGGAGTTAGTCTATATGAGAAAGAGGTTCTGTGTACTTTTGTGGCTTGTCCTTAAAACTTATGCATCCTCTAACCGTTTCAGGACGCTGAAGGGTTGGACCCTGAAACACCATGTCGCAAAACATCTCGGGCTTCCAGGCTGCCTACATCACCATAGAGGTGCTGATTGCCCTTATATCCATACCTGGGAATATCCTGGTGATTTGGGCTGTTAAGGTGAACCAGGCCCTGCGAGATGCCACCTTCTACTTTATTGTCTCACTGGCAGTTGCAGACGTTGCTGTGGGGGCCCTGGTCATCCCGCTGGCCATCATCATCAACATTGGGCCACAGATACAGTTCTACAGCTGCCTGATGGTGGCCTGTCCTGTCCTCATCCTCACGGAGAGCTCCATCCTGGCGCTGTTGGCCATTGCTGTGGACCGATATCTCCGAGTGAAGATCCCTATGCGGTAAGAGCCACGGCCAGGCAGACAGAATATTATTGGGGTGATCAGGGCAGGGGTGAGGACCAATGTTCCCTCTAAGCTGTGGAGTCTTGTGAGCAAAAATTCTACTTTATGAGCTACTGGCACTAAAGTTGTGAGCGGGCAATTTGGCTGCTGCATAACTTAGTTTCCTCTGGAGCCCTCCTTCCTGAGCTAAGATAAAAATGTCTGAGCCGGAGGCTAAAAAACTGTGAGCTAGCTCACACTAACTCAGCTTAGAGGGAACACTGGTGAGGACTTCTCATGGCAAGAAATGTGTACTCTTGCTGTGAAAGTTAGGGACTTTATCAACATTCTCCAAATATTTTTGTTTAAGGGACATTCCTAACTCATGGAGATGTGAGCAGGGGTCATTTTGTAGAAAAGAGGTGCAGGAGCTCATTAGCACAACTCATTAGCATAACTTATTTGCATATGCCACATCCTCTGACATCACCACCGCTCAGGCTCCACCCCAAAAATCTCCGAGTATTTCCCAACTCACATTCAAACCTGGGTCTCCCAAATCCTCGTCTGGAACACTAACCACTACACAACACTTCATGGGGCAGCGACTGCTGAGCAATAGCAAGCAGCTGGGCCTGCATGAGTTATGCAAGTTGCATGGTGTCAAGTTGTCCAGTGGCTGCTGCCAGGCCTGACATGCTCTCTTCCCCCTACATTTTACTGACAGAAACAAATGCTTGAAGGCTGGAAATACTGTTGACAAACAATGGCCACTGAGAGAATTCCTTTCATATAGCTACAAGTGCTGCTTCTATTATGGGTGAGGGTTGACTGAACTGGAAATGTTGGTGATTGAACCTGGGACCTTCTGCCTGCCAGGTGCTCTGCCATGGAGCCATGGCCCTTTAGCTGAAACAAATCATACGAATGTCTGACAACACTGACCTGCCAGTAGCCAGTGTTATGTCAATGCTCTAAAAAAACACACCAAGGAAATGTACTTCTTTTTCCATACATCAGAGTGCACTCACAAGTGACTGTGACTGTAAAAATATTCAGACACGATGAGCTTATTAAGCATTAAACCCACTCTAAAAGAACATTCATTTGTCATCTAGTTTTCTTTTTATTTCACACGGTAAACCATGCCTGCAGATTGTGGACCAAAACTGTGAAATGGGTTATACACATGACATTTTTAAAAAGGTGTTCAAAAGTTGGAACTATTGGAAGGGGAAGGACTTGCCTGGGACACCACTGGAACTAGGGCTGGTCCTGCATACATGAAGCTGGGATGAATCTGAATTAGCGTTACAGAGTGCTCAGGCAGTTCAATGGTTTAGGGTACTTAAACCCTGTCTTGAGTCACTAAAGTGTTTGCAGATTTTTGCATATCAGATGAGAGAAGTGAGTTGTATTTTGTGCATACTGCCAAGAGTCCTTGCCCAGGCCAAAATTACTCAGCTCATAGCACCACACGCCTGTGACTAGTAAGCACAGGGACCTTGCAGGTTCCACCAGGATATCACTTACCATCTGCTGATCTTTCTTTATCTATACATAGCTGGCTCTTGTGCTGTCATTCCAGTAATTCACAATGTGGGGAGGGGCTGTGGGTCAGTGGTTGAGCATCTGCTTTGCATGCAGGAAGTCACAATGTGAATCCCTGACATCTCCAGTTGAAAGAACTGAGTAGTAGGTGATGTGAAAGACCTCTCCCTGAAACCCTGGAGAGCCGCTGCCAGTCTGAGTAGGCAATACTGACCTCGATGGACCAAGGGTCTGATTCAGTTTAAGGCAGCTTCATGTGTTGAACTATCCCCCCCAACCCCTTATGGACAGGACAATAGCATTACAAGTGCTAATGTGCAACAATAGTGCCACTATTCAATGGTGTGTGGATCCAGTTCTGGCACTGTAAACAAAACACACAACCAGGGGATTGTTAGCTTCCTAAAGGCCCAAATTTCATCCCAGGACTTTCAAAGGCTTCTGCAACCAGCCTGCTTAATACTGTACTGGGAGTTCTGCAAATGAATGCCCAAGCACGTTTTTTGTTTGTTTCATTTAAAACACAAATGTGCAGGGCCCAATTTTGCATTGTGATTGTGCTGCAGGAGGAGAGAGAATTAAAGCTCCCACCCAGTCATTTCCTCAACCTGAAAAATAGTAACATGGAAATGCTAATTGTCACAATTGGGCAAATATTTAGTTCCAGTAGCTGATGAAGGAAGCTTATTACCACCCCACCCTCACAAATCTTGCTCATTTTTAAGGTGCTACTGGACTCAAATCTAGATCCCCATATATCTACTGATCCATGCCTGCCCCAGTGGGTATCACTTAGCAGAACAGGGCCAATTTTAAGAACAGCAAATTCTTGGGGGGGGGGTGGGGGGAGATTTGGAATGAGAAAGGAGTGGTTAGTCATTTCGTCACTATCTCTGCCATTTTTTTTATTCCAGTTAGCACTTTATGCACCTTTCCCCCACACACACACACTAAAATAGCAGGGGGTAGCCATGTTAATCATGTAATCCCTGCAGCTTCTAAATTTGCAGAGTGGAATGACAGCCCTGGGGAATAGGCTCAGTGCTCTGCCACTGGAATGATGGCCTCTGGGAGTAGCAGAGGTGTTCTGGGACTGGATATCAGTGGTCTGCATCCACCAACTCACACAGCAGAACCAGAGCTTGCAGAAAGGAGGAGGGGGAGGGAGGGAAGGAAGGAGAAATGGAAAGAGAGTAAATATATGGGAAAGAGAGAGAGAGAAAGAAAGAGAGAGAGAGAGAGAAAGAAAGAGAGAGAGAAAGAAAGAAAGAAAGAAAGAAAGAAAGAAAGAAAGAAAGAAAGAGGTGGGGAGACAGGAAAAAAAGGAGAGGAGGAGGGGAGAGATGGAAAGGGAGGGAGGGGGGAGAGCAAAGGATCCCCTCATCTCTTTGGACTCCAAAGTTCAGTGGGCTATAAACTTCCTGTGTGGACCTGCTGAGCTCTGAAGTGCAGGCTGGGGTTTTTTGCCGGCAAGATCTCCCACAGCAGAATGGGAAGGAGCAGCAACCCTCCCGTGTCAGGGTGAGGAACAGAAAAAGCCCCAGTAGCCCTGATCCCTCCCCGTGCAGGTCTATATGGACCCACGTCCCCTGGACTTCCAGCAACTCTCTCAGCCCAGCCTGCTTACTCAAAAGTCAGTTGAGAATTGGGAACAAGGTGATAAGCTCTCTGTTTTAAACATCAGACAGCTATTGGGGAAAAAAGACAGAGTAGCTCTTGCTATGGTCAGATTGTATTCTTACATTAAAAAAAGGAAGCAGAGAGGGGGAACCTTGATCTGTCTGTTTGTGATTGAAGGCAATACAACAGTGCTGAGAGCTGACACTAACTGTTATACCACCCTGGCTCTCCCCATACTTCTATTGGCCCCCCTAGAAAAGGGGGGGGGACAGGCAAACATCTTTTGCCTGTTTGCTTTCCCTTCCAATGCTGATGGTTCTAATGGGGGAAATTATGCATGGGTAGAAACCATCTCTCCTCATCCAGCACCTGACAACGGCGGCGAGGGCGGGGACTCCACAGGCCGTTTTTCAGGCCTGGCGCTGCAGTGCAGGGCCTAAAA